AGGAACAGTTAAAGTTCTGTTTTCAGAAAAAGTGATTTGTAGAATTGATGTATTTTAAAAACATTAGAAAACTCAGTTGAAAGTATTATTTTTTGCTTCACTTTTAATTTTGTTGCATAAAAGACTTCTTGTCCTACCTTGGTAAAATTTGATGAACTGGTTTCATTTTCAAAGTCTTTATTTTAAAAATAAATATGTATCTTTGTATGACTTATGAGTGTACAAGCAGGTAGAAATACATGTGTTCCTAAAAGTGTTTTGTATATTTTCATTTCTGGGCCACACTGTAGTTAACTATTGTTATTAAATCTTAAGATAATTTAAATGTATAAAATAAGTACCTGTTATGTTGTCAATAAAAAGGGACTGCTAATATTTTTTTACATAAAAATTTGTATTCTATGTCTGTTGTAGAATCATAGGATATTAAAAATAAATTTTATCTATGTTTGACAATTTCTTTTAACTACTTACATTACTGAAGCACAAATGCTTAAATATAAGAAGTCTGAATGGAAGAATATTTCAAATAATGACTGTGTTTATGTCTGATTTATTTCAGATAGATAACCCAAAGTTCACCTTGCCAGTTTATCTTCCATTTGAAGATTAACAATTTCTTTCTTTTTTGGTCTTCATTGTTCCTCTTTTCCTGCCTTTTAGTGGGTACGTTCCTCTGATCTATAGAATGGGACAGAGGTCTGGTCTAGGGATTGATAAATGAGGTAACACCCCTGGCTCTCAATGGGTTGCCTGTATGGAGGTGGAGAGATTACTTGGTATATATAGTAATATCTCGCTTTATTCTCCAGCAGGGTACTGAACTTCCATTTATTCAGCACACATTGTGTGCCAGGCATTGTGTCAACATTATGGAGGACTTCACTTGAGAGGCCTGTAAACTGTAGTAACATACTGATTCAGATGCCTGTTAGATGCATCTGACACTGGGTATTTCTCTAATAGAGTGTGTACCACTCTTTAGGATAACTGCCTGTTTACCTATGTCCCTCTGCTCCCCACAACTGGTTCCCTCAAGGGTAGAGCTGTACCTTCATCCCTGGTGAGGAGCACAGGGTGCGCCACCATGACAGGTGTTCAGTGACATTGACTGATGGGAAAAAGAAGGAAGGCTCAGTCCCTGTTGTTGGCGACCTCATGTTCCAATAGGGAGAAATGAAGCACAAATATTCCAAGAACAGTTTTGGTTTTTTTTGGCAGCTGGCCAGTACAGAGATGGACCCCTGGACCTTGGTGTTATCAGCACCACACTCTAACCAGCTGAGCTAACCAATCAACCAGAAAAGAACAATTTAAAAATAATTTGAGGCTGGCTGGTTTGCTCAGTTGGTTGAAGGTCACAGGTTTGGAACTGGCCAGCTGCCAAAAAAAGAAACAAACAAACAAACAAAAAAAGAAAGTCCTATGGTTTGTTTCACAAAAATGTCTTGTTGCTAATTTGCCACGATGTGTGGCAAATAATAAAGCCTATATTATACAGGTAATGCACTGCCTTTCAGAGTTGGGCTAATAATATCTGACACACTTGTATAGCAGCTATACACTTTACACAGTTCCTCACATCTGTTCTTTGAATACCTGACACTGTGTTAGGCACTAGAAACCAGTGATAAATTAATAATAACAGTCGTGTATATTTCCAGAGGACTTATTATGTACCATGCCTTATTTAAAGAACTTGTTGATGCCTTAACTTCATCTCTACAATAATAGTATGAGATAGATACTATTTAACATTCCTTTTTCACAGATGGAGGTAATCAAGGCGCAGGGAGATTAAGTTACTTGCCCAGGTTCACAATGATAAGTGATAGATCTAGGATTCAAAATCAGCCAGTCTGGCCCATGGCTCACTTGGGAGAATGTGGTGCCGATAACACCAAGGCCACGGGATCGGATCCCTATATAGGGATGGCCGGTTAACTCACTTCGGAGAGTGTGGTGCTGACAACACCAAGTCAAGGGTTAAGATCCCCTTACTGGTCATCTTTAAAAAAAAAAAAAAAAAAAAAATTAGCCAGTCTATTTGGATCTCCTTACTGGCCAGCTGCCAAAAACAAACAAACAAAAAAAAACCCCAAAAAACTTCAAATTCAGCCAGTCTAAATCTAGTGCAGTTTTCTAACCATGATGATACCACACAGTGGTATCCTGTTCAGATGAAACTCTAACATGTCAATAAATTTGAACATGTCAATAAATACAAACCAATCAATAGAATGATTACAGTTTATGGAAAGTGCATATGAAGGAAGTAAGCAAGGAAGCTACTTTAGAATGGTCAAGGAAAAGTTTCTCTAATGTGCTATATACTGTAAGCTGACACATGGAAGATAAAAAGGAAACAGCCGTTCAAAGAACTGTGGGGGAAGAATGGCACAGGTGAAGAGAACAGCAGGTACAAAAACTCTAAAACAGGAAAAAGCTTGGCTGGGAATAGAAATTGTCAGAAAGCCGGTGTGAACGAAGCATTGTGAGTGAAGGAATAGCAACAGATGGGGGTTGGAGAAATAGACGAAGGCCAGAGATTGTATAGGGATCTAAAGGATATAGTAATTATTTTGTCTTTTATTCAAAATGCAATGAGAAATTATTGAAGGTTTTTGGAAGGGGAGTAAAAGTGTGTAATTATGTTTTTACAAAGATCCCTCTGTTTCATCAACCATGATTTGCAGTTAATACAGAAATCAAAATAAACAGATAAGAGGAAATAAAATTAAAAATTGGTTTTTTGAAAAGATCAATAAAATTGATAAACACCTAGCTAGACTGGTAAGTAAAAAAGAGAGACCATAAATTACCAATATCAGGAGTGAAAAAGAGGACATCACTATGGATCCTACAGATATTAGAAATCTAATAAGGGATTTTGAAATAACTCTTTGCCAAGGAATTTGACAATTTAGATGAATAATGGAGAAATGCTTGAAAAACACAACCTAAACTGACATAGATGAAACAGAAAATCTTTATAGCCAACTGAAGAAATTGACTTTATAATCAAAAACCTTTCCACAAAGAAAATTCCAGGCCCAGGTCATGAATTCTACTAAACATCTAAGGAATAATCTCACACAAACTTCCAGAAATGAGGAGAGAGAGAGCACTCCCCAACTCATTTTATGATGCCAGTATAACCTTGATATCCGAATCTGACATAGTTGTTACAAGAAAAGAAAATTACAGATCAGTATACCTTAGGAACATAGATGGAAAAATCCTTAGCAATATATTAGTAAATGAAATCCAGCAATATATAAAAGGTTTATTATGACATGACCACTTTAGGTTTATTATTATTATTATTATTATTATTATTATTATTATTATTATTATTATTTTGGCGACTGGTCAGTACGGGCATCTGAACCTCTGAACTTGGTGTTTCAAAGCTGTGCAGTAACCAACTGAGCTAACCAGCAAGCCGTTGGTTTATTCTATTAATACAAAGTTGTTTAACATTCTAAAATGAATGGTGCAATTTCCCAAAATAAAGGAGAGAAAACGTGATCCTTCAATAGATGCACTAACAGCACGTGACAAAAATTCAACACTGATTCACTCATCACAGTAGAATAGAAGAGACCTTTTTCAATCTGATAAAGACATTTTGGCAGATTATATTTTCCAACAATGACTGCAACAATAAATCCCAATTTACACACTCCTTATGTGTCATTTGCCCTCATCCCATCAAGAAGTGGGGACTGTGTTCCCTCCCTTTGAATCTGGCTGGATGATCCTATGACTGCAGTCGAAGCGATGCTATATGACTTCTTTTTTTTTTTTTTAAAAAAAAAAGATGACCGGTAAGGGGATCTCAACACTTGGCTTGGTGTTGTCAGCACCACGCTCAGCCAGTGAGCAAACCGGCCATCCCTATATAGGATCCGAACCCGTGGCCTTGGTGTTATCAGCACCGCACTCTACCGAGTGAGCCACGGGCCGGCCCGCTATATGACTTCTGATGCTAGGTTAGAAGGCGGAAACAGGTTCCATCTGGTCTTCTTGGAATGCTTGCAATTGGAATCCAGTTACCATGCTGTGAGGAAGCCATGCAACCCCTGTGGAGGAAGCACCAACTTGCCAACCATTTGAGTAAGTCATCTTAAAAGTGGATCCCTCAGCCTCTAGCTGATGCTGTGTAGAAAGAGACAAGCCTTCCCCACTGAGCCCTGCCCAAATTGCAAATTCTTATCTTTTTTTTTTTTTAAAAGATGACCAGTAAGGGGATCTTAACCCTTGACTTGGTGTTGTTAGCACCACACTCGCCCAGTGAGCAACGGGCCATCCCTATATGGGATCCGAACCCGTGGCCTTGGTGTTATCAGCCCCACCCTCTCCTGAGGGGGCCACGGGCTGGCCCGAAATTGCAGATTCTTTTTTTTTTTTTAAAAGATGACCAGTAAGGGGATCTTACCCCTTGACTTGGTGTTGTTAGCACCACACTCGCCCAGTGAGCAACGGGCCATCCCTATATGGGATCCGAACCCGTGGCCTTGGTGTTATCAGCCCCACCCTCTCCTGAGGGGGCCACGGGCTGGCCCGAAATTGCAGATTCTTTTTTTTTTTTTAAAAGATGACCAGTAAGGGGATCTTACCCCTTGACTTGGTGTTGTTAGCACCACACTCGCCCAGTGAGCAACGGGCCATCCCTATATGGGATCCGAACCCGTGGCCTTGGTGTTATCAGCCCCACCCTCTCCTGAGGGGGCCACGGGCTGGCCCGAAATTGCAGATTCTTTTTTTTTTTTTAAAAGATGACCAGTAAGGGGATCTTACCCCTTGACTTGGTGTTGTTAGCACCACACTCGCCCAGTGAGCAACGGGCCATCCCTATATGGGATCCGAACCCGTGGCCTTGGTGTTATCAGCCCCACCCTCTCCTGAGGGGGCCACGGGCTGGCCCGAAATTGCAGATTCTTAAGCTAAATAACTGTTGTTATTTTAAGCTGCTAAGTTTTGAAGGTTTTTTTTTTTTTTTTTACTTTTGCTTTTGTTTTTACATAGCATTGGATAACCATAACAGGCATTCATGAAAGACCTACAGCTAGCATCATACTTTATGGTAAAATATTGAATACTTTCCCCCTAAGATCATGTAGAAGATGAGGCTGTCCAGTGTCACAGCTTCTACTTAACCAGTGAACTTATGTGAGAAAATGGAATAAAACTACAAAGATCAGAAAGGAAGAAGGAAAATTGCCTCTCTTTACAGATGACATGATTATTTACATAGAAAGTCTTGATGAATCTATGGAACAACAATTAGAAATTATAAGTGAATTTAGCAAGGTTGCAGGATATAAGGTAAATATAAAACAACTGTATATAGGGCCAGCCCGGTGGCGCACTGGAGAGTGTGCCGCTTGGGAGAGTGGTGGCGCTCCCACCAAGGGTTCGGATCTCATGTGGAGACCAGTTCCCACTCACTG